GGCGGGCTTGGGGCAGGGGCGCAGTCCGGAGATTCCGGGACTGCCCGGCTGCTGCAGCCCGCAGGCTCCTCTCTCCTCCCCGCTTCCCCTCCGCATCGCCTGGGCTAAAGGCGGCCAAGCAGAGGCTCCGAGAGAAAGTAAGTAAGGGTGGGCCGTGGGAGGTGGGAAGGGAGGGACCCCTTCCAGGGCCATCCCCACCCCAGCCCCCCGACCCGCCCCTCGCCCCGTGGGAGGGTGAACTAAGTGGGCTGGAGCGGACGGGAGGGAGTTTTTGGGCCCCTTTGTCTCCCCCAGCCGCACGGACACCCCCATTTTCCACACTGATTTTCAATGTGAAGCTCAAGTCCTCAAAGATCTTTCTTGGGGTCTGACTTAGAGGCAGGGGGACATCCCAGATGCCGTTGAGTAGGCTGAGATGGTTTGGAGACATCCTCGCTGGAGGTCCTGCAAGCCGCTGAAGTGTCACAGACACGTGTGCGCGGAGTGGGGCGGTGTGTCGGGCCACAAGCCAAGCCGGAGTCGGCCTCCCAGAGTGTTTGCCTCGGTTTGGGCGGGTTAGTCCCCGAGGCACCTTTCAAGGCCCCACATGTGTTCTGGAATAAGCCAGGCCCCGCTGGTGCCATCTGGGAACACAGGTTCTTGGGCCACAGGTGGACGGAGAGAAGCTGGGCGCGGAATTAGTGATCATTTTAAAGCACACACACACACACACACACACACACAGACACACACGCACGCACGCACGCGCGCGCAGTCCCTGGGGAGAGATTCCCCGGGAGTAGAAACAGAGGCATTAGATCTGGAGAAAGAATTAGTTGCAAGTTTAAGGGCGTCCAGAAGCGCTGTGCTCTACTTATCCCCGTGTATACAAATAAATTAACCTTTTCCCCAGCTAGACAAAGTCTGTATAAATACAGTGTTTCTAAAAAGATGTCTACGTTATCAAGAGCGGTGACTTGAGGTTTACTGGATCCCTGCAAGTTGGCATCAGGACGAGCTTCTACAGGGTTGCACACAAAATGTGCTTCTAGCCCACTTGGGTATTTAACAGAGAAGCTGATTTCCCAGAAGATGGGCTTTGATGAGGAGATAAGGCAGTTTTCCCATTTTGGCAATGGAGGAATGTTCACCATATTTGGATTTGCTTCACTTGTTGGACATTGATTTCGCCAAGCGATTGCAAAAGTTGGTGATGATTGAGGTGGGCAGCTGACTAAATTAATCACTTCTTTAAAGTGGTCACGGTGGCTAGGTAAGGCTTCTGTCTTTTTCACTTGCTGAACCTGGATATTAGTGAAGTTAGGTTTTTCCCAAAAGAGGTGACACATCAGAATAACTGAAAAGAATCTGCTAGGATGTCTGGCCCAGTCCTCAGCTAAGGTAGGGCCCCGATGACACGTTTAACATTTTCCCCAGGGTCTGCTGTATACACATGATTCTTCATACACGTGATTGTAAGTCCACTTAGGATCTCACAGGCTGTTTTGTTTTTTTTTTATATCTGATATTCTTTCTGCTTTGAGGACTTTTAATATAAAATTAATCAGACAGCTGCAAGCACTTTAAGACTTTAAACTCATTAATAGATCTCAAGATGAATCCCACCAAATTTAAATCACTTGCGTAGTTTCATCTCATTAGATAGTTTGAGAAAAAGGACTCGAACCCAATCTGGGGTGCTTTCCACTATCCAACCCTTTATTCCCAAATGCCAAGTTTATATTCCTTTTCCAAAGTAAAAATCCTTCTAAAAACATATTTCAGTGGTTTGAGCTCCTACTCTGATAAATTCATGTTAGTAGTTTTGAAACAGGCCTTTCTTATGGCTTATACTTCAAGACTAAGGACACTTAAAGGTAAATTAATTTTGTTTTTAAAATACTATGCATCTGTTATAACCCTTGACCCTAAGATATAGAAAGTTTATAAAAGATTACTGAAATAAGACATGCTTGTTAGTTTTGATATATGGAAACTAGAATTGATTTCATCTACTGTTTGTCTTGAAAGTCAATAAATTGAGTCACTTAGGAGATAGCTTGAGCTTATTCTTAGTGTTACTGATATAATTTCTAAACAGTTACTAAGCAGTGTTACACAAATGGACTAACTTCTGATTCGTTTTTTCCAGAGGGAAAATTGCAACCCTTGCCTACAACCAGACTGACAGCATAATTTCTTAGGAATCAAGAATCAACACAGGGTTATTTCTTTAGATTAAACCTTGAAAGCCCCCTTGGAGGCTGAAGGAACAGAGGATAGCCATGCATACACTTGAACATGAAAAATGGTCCTCTTTCATTGGAGAGGTCTCCCTCTTCAGCTAAACAGACAGAGTGGTGAAAAGAAGAAAGGACCCCTTCCTGACGAAAATAATCCAGACAAATCAAATTGGCCTTTTCTAGAAGGAATGGAACAGCCCAAGGATGGCTAGATCACATCTGCTCACACCACCACTGAGTAATCCTCTCCAGAACTGCCACCTATGTGCAGGTCATGCCCTGTGCAAGAGCACCTAAAGTGGGAGCTGAAGTCCTGCCCAGGCTCCGTTCACCAAGCAGAGTTTATGTTGCTGTGTGTCTGTGTCTACCCAGAGGATGTGGGTCCTTTTTAAAATGTACACCAAATCATTGTGTATGAGCTAGCACCAGCTTGGACCATCCCTCCCTCATAGGTCCTATCCAGAGTTATATTCCCTACTTTAGAAGAATTAATTATTTCCATGAACGTATTTAGTTGATTGTAAAAAATGAAATATGTGACATAAATTGAAATTAATTTCAGAAGTAAAGGTCAAAATATCATGTATGTGAATTATGTATATATGTTTGTATATGTATGTATCAAGAGAGTTATATGAGTATACATTTCTGTGTATCAGAAGTGAGGACAATTTAACTTTGGTAAGTGTTTAAAATAAAATTATTTTGAGTTTTGGAATCAGTTTTATGTATGGATTTCTGGCCTTCACAGAAATATGTACTATTTAATTCCATTTCAACAAATATATATTAAGTGTTAGGCACCATGCTGATATGTATATAGTACTGAAAAATAATGCAAACACCCTGCTCTAGGTAGTTATTAATCTAATATAGAAGTCAAATGATAAGGTAACAAATAAAATTACAGTTATAAATTATGGTAAAGGCTATGAAAGAAATGCTAAGGGATAGAATAACAAAGAACATCTATTTCAGATTAAGCGACTGGAAAAAGCTTCTCTGGGAAAATGACATTTCAGTTGAGACCTAGGATAACTTGGAAGGAGTGCGAAGTGTCTCCAACCACTGTTGAAAGTCTAGGACCATTTGAGTTCAGAATATAATTTGATACATTTGAGGAGAAGTGCAGAATAGATAACTCAGAGGCTAGAGGCCAAATTCGCAGACTTTTCGTTTATAGACTCCAGGTAACTAATTAAGTTAGTTCCGTGTATTTGTCATTCACTTTTGTTTTTGCAAGTGCCCTTTCTTTCCTCCCTCATACTTATCCATCTTTGTCTCTTTCTCTAAATTTAGGCTTAACAACAACCTCTTCTAAGAGTTATTCTAGTTTGAATGACCCTTCAACCATTGCACCTCACCTAACAAGTATATAGATACTATATTTTATTTATTTTCTTTTGTGCATCATTGGTAAATACCTGAGACGTTTACATATGTGCAAGTTGAATATTCATGAGATTATAAGCTCCACAAGGGCAGGAATTGCATTTCCTTCTTTGGACACCCCAACATAGTTTAGTTTCAACTCCTAGCACAGCAACCAGCCTCTCAATAAATGCTGCTGAGTGGCTGATCTTGATGGAGTTGATAATTTTTAAAGGTTTAAAATGGAGCTAATATTTGCATTAAAAAAAACTTTAAATTGGGCCAGACATAGTGACTCACCCCTGTAATCCCATCAATTGGGGAGTCCAAGGTAGGAGGATAGATTAAGTCCCAGAGTTCAAGACCAACCTGGGCAACACAGTGAGACCCCATTTCTAAAAAAATAAGGAAAATTATCCGGGCATGATGGAGCACACCTGTAGTCCCAGCTGCTTGGGAACCTGAGGTGGGAGGATCACTTGAGCCCAGGAGATCAAGGCTGCAGTGAGCTATTATTGTACTGCACTCCAGCCTGGGCGACAGAACAAGACCCTGTCTCAAAAAGTAAATTGTGAAATAGAAGAAAGCACACAGTTTAAAGTGCACTATCACTAAGGAAGTGCAACAGACTTTGCTACTAACGTGTGATTCCACAAACGAAGGACGGCCAGCAAAGCGAGGTCAATATCCTTTACAAATTAAAGGTTGGTTATAATTCAGATAAATGGACGCAAAAATGGTAGGACTGCTTCTAGGGTGTTTTCTACAGTTAGTCTTTTTTTCAAAAGTCAGCACCTACTGTGTACCAGAGCCTGATCTGGACCCTGGGGACACAGCAGTGAACAAAACTTTTCTCATGGAACTCATATTCTAGTGGGGAAGACAAGTAACAAACAGATATAGATTATACCAGATGGCGAGGAATGCTGCAGAGAAAAGGGAGCATGGCCAAAGACTGCTGGGGTTGGGAGAAATAATAATTTTGTATACATTGTCAGGAAAAGTGTTTACCGAGGCAATATTTGGGCAGAAACAAGGGCAGAGAAATAGCCAGGGTCCACATTGCATGGGATCTTATAAGGTATGTTATGGATTCAGGCTCTTAATTCGGAATGAGATGATTTTCACTCAGGGGTCTTTGTCAGAAATAAACCACGCTAGCTATTTTCACAGTGCAAATTACAGAT